CTGGAGAAGTCACTCCAGGAAACAAACACGGTGAAGGGCAGTTTACCGGTCGAAAAAGCCGGCTAGATGGACGTAGGTACGGGATACAGCGGGCCTCCTCTCTCAATTTATTGTACAGCCACCACCCGCCCAAGCTGGGCAACCCCCAGAAAATGAGGTGCTGTCCCGTCCACGTTCCACTTCTCATTAGGTGCATGAGACTAAGGGCAGAAGACCGACAATCAACGCACCAGCGAACAAAACACTGAACCGAAACCCGAAGGCCTGGTGTAACAAGTCTCTAGAAGCTCCCACATAGGTGTTTCGGTCACGCTCCCGTGTTGGATCTACGCCCCACTGCCGTGTAGGTCAGACTCTAGAGTCAAAGGCTTTGGGGTGGACTGCTGCGAAGTCTAAAAAACTCATTTGGAAAAACATCTTGTGAATCTATCTAGTTCTTACTCTCAATTCTGAATAATCCCAGGCGCCTATTTACGACACCCATCGGATATCACTCAGTGGTTTGCCAACAAGGCCAAACAATCAGGTTATGGGATTTCTGAAACCCAAATTCCTTTTTCGCCTTTCCACTTTTCACTTTTTTCACTTCAATGTCCGCATACTCTATCAGGTTAGTCAACAAGCTGTCCTAGCTAGAACCCTTGTAACTTTCATGTAGATGGAAATGTTTGTGATAACCAACAAATGCATCGTCTCGGGGGGAATTAACGATTCCTCAAGGAGTGAAACCCACACCGAAGACCATCAAGAGTGCCTGGTGCCTCTGAACAATCGAATGGGCTAATCCAAGCATGACACTCTAAATTTCAATGTAGATGTTCGCTATTGAACTTTGTCATAGATTTAATTCTTGAAACAGCCCTATCTTCATGCGAGGATAGGAGCATCGATTTACTCCCGGGTGGCAGACTGTCTGATCTAGACTATGCAGACGATATTGTGCTACTAAGTGAAGATCCAGGTAAGCTGCAAGCTTTTCTGGATAGTTTGAGTGCTAGTGTAGTCATGCTGGGTATGCGTTTTGCATCCTCAGTGTAAAATGCTGCTCCAAGATTGGGTTGACCCAGTCCCCAACCTCACCCTGACGGAGGAAGTTGTGGAGAAAGTAGACAAGTTTTGCTATCTGGACAGCTATATCCCCCTGGCGGACGCATCACAGATGAAGTGTTGGCGCGCATACAGAAGGCTCGGATGGCATTTGCCGACTTGAGACATCTTTGGCGCCGTTGCGGCATTCGGCTGTCTGTGAAGGGTCGAGTGTTGACTGCAGCAGTCCAGCCAGTTCTCCTTCACGGTGCAGACTTGGCCATTAGGGAACAAGCTTAAGATAGATTATCGGTGTTTGAACATCGCTGTCTACGTAGCATTGCACGAGTCCGGTGGGGAAACGGGACGAGCAACACCGAGGTTCGGCGTAGTTTCAGGTGATCGCGGTCGTCCACTGGGGCGAGTAGTCGACACTCATAGATTACGCTACGCACGTCACCAGATAGATTTGCCACGGCGAGCGATGTTTGCCGAGGCAAATAGCAGTTGGAAAAAGATCAAGGGCAGTCAAACGACGACCTGGTATGAGGGTATGAAAACCCTGACCAGGAGACTGGCTCACATAGGTCGCGTTACGCTCCCTGGATGGATATATATATATATATATATATATTACACCGGCTTGTGAACAAGCATGCTGCAATCAATGTTAACGATAATGATAGATAGGTGGATCGGGGTACAGAGCAAAGTGGAAAAGGGTGGAACAGTTAAATACGGGAAGATAAAAGAAAACTGGAATAGCAAAATTTTGTGCTTCACCGTACACTTTTTGATTTTTTTGTAATTTTACGTGGCACGGGATTTCGACCGACAGACCGAACAGCGTTCGCGCCACTGACTTCTATTCTGGACTATACCTCGCAGCGTCTATAACCAACGACAATCCTCATACCTTGGGCCCCAAACTGGAAGGCGGGCTGCACCAACCGAAACCAAAGCTGAAGCCAGCTTCTTCATGCCTCTAGCCCAGTTCATGATCTGACGGTCGCACTGCTTCTCCTAGCCATCCCCGGCAGGTGCAAAGAGAGCACGGAAAGGTAGTCGATGAGCAGGCATATGCAATACATAACAACGCAATCGGAGGCGGTGTAGAGCGATTACTTCCGTTAGGTCAAATACACCAAGTCGATTAGCATCCTCGACGCGGAGGGGCCAGGTCTCGCAACTGCAAAGGAGAACGCTACGAACTGCGGCGATGTACACCCTTCCCTCAAGAGGACAGTCGGAGGTCATGGCGGCGCCACAGGTGTCGCAGGTTGGCGAAAGCTGCTCTAGCTTTCGGCATTCGTGATGTGATTTTTCCCCCAACCCCACCTCCAGCTGTGATCAAGCGCCCGACGTACTTAAAGCTCTTAACTACTCCCAGCTGGTCATCACAGAGCAGGACTTGCAGGCACAGGCTCCTGACAGTCTTGAACCAGCACTTTGCACTTTGGTGGTGCAAAGCACATACCATACCTGGATACCTCTATCGCCAAGCGGTTCAAAGCGTTTTGGACTACCTGTGTGTTGTCACCCAGCAAGGTGATGTCACGGGCATATTCCAAGTGCGCTGTACACCTCAACGATTCAGAATGGGTGAACACCTACAGAAGGAAGCGTGTATGCTTATTCGTCATATCGGTGTATGCACCGACTGATTGCAGTACACCTGAAAACAAGGATCAACTCTACAAGCAGCTTACTCAATTACTCCAAGGTGTTCGATCAACGGACACCGTAGAAGTCATCGAATGATGATGACTGATGAAGATGAAACAACACCACAGGTATTCGTCCAGCATATCGGTATATGCAAAAAGGACGATTTCTACGATGATCTCACCGATCTCATTGGGATGAGTAAGACATAGTTGTTCTTGCAAGTGATTTAACACAAGTTGGAAAACTGAGTGCATCGAAGGCTTGCCTAGGCGGCCGAAATTCTCTGCCCTGCCAGCGAATTGATAATAGTTCTTCGCAAACCATCATCATCGTTGTACAGCGTATTACAGTGAAGCTAACTTCACTGCTCGCTGCCAAACTCATATTGCATAGAAGGTAAGTGAGAATGCCTCCCAAGGCCTCAGTATGGTTGGGGGCGAGTGTCTAGGGTTGCGGCTGATCACCCTGCCCTTGCACCTCACGAAATGCCCCCATACGACCAAGCGTCTCAAATAGCCTCTGCTGAGGAAGCCCTACTCACTGCCTTCTCGCCGGAGGTGTTTTTGCACGAAAGTGAGAGGACGAAAAGCCGATAGCCGGGGCTATAGCCGGGTTGGTGGACCACTGGCAGTTTACCTAGGGGAGTTGGCCAAAAACCCTGATTCCAAACCAACCATGAGGAGACGTACGAACCACACCCACACCTTTCCGGTTGTGGCGGTGGTCACCGGCTGAACTGGGCATCGAGGTGTATTGGGCACCTTGGACGTTTGA